GGAAGTGAAAGCACCAGAAAGTAAATTAAGTCATACGCAGCTGTAATCCGTACGCAACGAAGTAAGCACAAGATGCCGAAAATCCTTAGCAGGATGCAGCGCACCCTTCATGCGACTCGCCGAATATCTCACGGCGCTTCGCGCTTGGTGATGTGAGAGCCTGGTCCGGTGAGAACCCGGTGTGCTCCGTCGCGGCTTTGTAGGGATGCGAGGTCAATGGTCTAACGACTACGGCATGCACGACTATGAGTACACCCCCCCCCCTCCGGTGTTTGCCTATCGGGATTGGGTTTTCGTCGCTTGGCAACGACGTTGTAAAACAAGCCAATTCACTTCGTGAACTCGGCAACCAGGTTACCGTTTGTTTTTTTTTCCTCCCGTTTTTTTTTTTTGGCGGTATCCATTGTGTTGGTCGAATAGATCATGTTGTGCGGGGTCGAGAACCCTCAATCCGCGCAAGGGGGATCATCGCACCACGTTGTTTAAAATGGTCACGCACCCTCGAGGCAGTTACAGTGCTTACAACTGTCTCAGGAAGTGAAAGCACCAGAAAATGTATTAAGTCATACGCAGCTGTCATCCGTACGCAACGAAGTAAGCACAAGATGCCGAACACCCTTAGCAGGATGGAGCGCACCCTTCATGCGACTTGCCGAATGTCTCATGGCCCTTCGCGCTTGGTGATGTGAGAACCTGGTCCGGTGAGAACCCGGCGTGCTCCGTCCCGGCTTTGTAGGGATGCGAGGTCAATGGTCTAACGACTACGGCATGCACGACTATGAGTACACCCCCCCCCCCCCGGTGTTTGCCTATCGGGATTGGGTTTTCGTCGCTTGGCAACGACGTTGTAAAACAAGCCAATTCACTTCGTGAACTCGGCAACCAGGTTACCGTTTTTTTTTTTTTCCTCCGTTTATTTTTTTTGGGCGGTAACCATAATGATGGTTGAGTAGATCATGTTGTGCGGGGTGAACCCTCACTCCGCGCAAGGGGGATGATCGCACCACGTTGTGTTAAAATGGTCAAGCACCCTCGAGGCAGTTACACAGTGCTTACAACTGTCTCTGGAAGTGAAAGCACCAGAAAATAAATTAATTCATACGCAGCTGTCATCCGTACGCAAGGAAGTAAGCACAAGATGCCGAAAACCCATTGCAGGATGCAGCGCACNTGGCAACGACGTTGTAGAACAAGCCAATTCACTTCGTGAACTCGGCAACCGGGTTACCGTTCTTCTTTACCTCCGTCTTTTTATTTTGGCGGTGATCATAATGGTGGACGAGTAGATCATCTTGTGCGGGGTCGAGAGGTGCTCACTCCGCGCAAGGGGGAACATCGCACCACGTTGTGTTAAAATGGTCAAGCACCCTCGAGGCAGTTACACAGTGCTTACAACT